CAGAACTCAGAGTCTGATCCAGAAATCAGAGTCTGATCCAGAACTCAAAGTCTGATCCAGAAATCAGAGTCTGATCCAGAACTCAAAGTCTGATCCAGAACTCAAATTCTGATCCAGAACTCAGAGTCTGATCCAGAACTCGGAGTCTGATCCAGAACTCAAAGTCTGATCCAGAAATCAGAGTCTGATCCAGAAATCAGAGTCTGATCCAGAACTCAGATTCTGATCCAGAACTCGGTCTGATCCAGAACTCAGAGTCTGATCCAGAACTCAGAATATGATCCAGAACTCAGATTCTGATCCAGAACTCGGTCTGATCCAGAACTCAGAGTCTGATCCAGAACTCGGTCTGATCCAGAACTCAGAGTCTGATCCAGAAATCGGAGTCTGATCCAGAACTCGGAGTCTGATCCAGAACTCAAAGTCTGATCCAGAAATCGGAGTCTGATCCAGAACTCGGAGTCTGATCCAGAAATCAGAGTCTGATCCAGAAATCAGAGTCTGATCCAGAACTCAGATTCTGATCCAGAATATGGAATCTGATCCAGAACTCGGTCTGATCCAGAACTCAGAGTCTGATCCAGAACTCAGTCTGATCCAGAACTCAGATTCTGATCCAGAATGTGGAATCTGATCCAGAACTCGGTCTGATCCAGAACTCAGAGTCTGATCCAGAACTCAGAATATGATCCAGAACTCAGAATATGATCCAGAATATGGAATCTGATCCAGAACTCGGTCTGATCCAGAACTCAGAGTCTGATCCAGAGTCATGTTGAGCCAAAATAACCTGAAGTTTCAATGTGATCTTCATTTGCTCCGTCTGTTCCTGCTTCTTCACTTGGGCTTCTTAGAACCACTCCAGAACCACCACCAAAGTTCTGTGTTGGTTCTGGGTTTTCTTCCATCAGCTGATGAAACAAACAGACTTACTGCGGCCGAGTGACCCAGTCTGTCGAAACGGAACTTCAGGTTAGATCTGGGAGAATTTCTGTTCTTCAGCTCTGAAGGAGGAAGAGAGGCAGCGTCAGACAGAAGACAAGCAGGAAGTGATGCGAGGACAAGCAGGAAGTGATGCGAGGACAAGCAGGAAGTGATGCGAGGACAAGCAGGAAGTGATGTGAGGACAAGCAGGAAGTGATGAGAGGACAAGCAGGAAGTAATGTGAGGGCAAGCAGGAAGTGATGTGAGGACTAGCAGGAAGAGACTTCCAGAAAGATGGTGAACTCCCTCCCCTGGTGTTTTCTCTTTTCTATACTTTTGTCTGTTTGTCTGACTAAAACAGGTCTCACTTGTAAATGAGTCTCCAAGACTCAATGTGATTAATCTGTATGAATAAATAAAAGTTGAATTCTCATGGCCTCTGACAATGGACTTGTGTCTCTACTGGTCCTGTTAGACCTCAGTGCTGCATTTGATACAGTTGATCACAATATTTTACTACAGAGGCTTGAATATGATATTGGGATAACAGGAACAGCTCTAAAATGGTTTAAATCATATTCATCTGATAGATTCCTGTTTGTAAATGTAAATAATAAATCTTCTTCATACACCACAGTTAGTTATGGAGTTCCTCAGGGCTCAGTGCTTGAACCAATACTCTTTACTTTATATATGCTTCCATTAGGTAAAGTTATTAAACAACATGGGGTAAATTTCCATTGTTATGCTGATGACACACAATTATATTTGCCCATTAAACCCAATGAATCCACTCAGCTACTTAGACTACAAGCATGTCTTATAGACATAAAAACCTGGATGACCCTTAATTTTCTCCTGTTGAACAGGCAAGACTGAGGTTTTGGTTTTTGGACCTGAGCACCTTAGGAATGAATGTTTCAGTCTTTCTCCCTCCTTAGATGCATTAATCTGTCCTCCAGCTCTAATGTTAAAAATCTTGGTGTTATTTTTGATCAGGACATGTCTTTTATCCCCCACATTAAAAACGTTACTAGAACCTCCTTCTTCCACCTGCGTAATATCACTAACATTAGAAACATGTGATCTAAAGATGATGCAGAAAAACTGGTCCATGCATTTGTCACGTCTAGACTGGACTATTGCAATGGTTTATTATCTGGGTGTCCAAATACTTCTTTAAAACGTCTTCAGTTGATCCAAAATGCTGCTGCCAGAGTCTTAACTGGAGTTACTGGGAGAGATCATCTCTCTCCAGTTTTAGCTTCTGTCCATTGGCTCCCTGTCAAGTCCAGAACTGAATTCAAAATCTTACTTCTAACCTACAAAGCCCTCAACAACCTAGCTCCATCTTATATTACAGATCTTATTGTTCCATATTTTACTAACAGAGCGCTTCTCTCTCAGACTGCAGGTTTACTTGTGGTTCCTAGAGTTTACAAAAACAGAATGGGAAGCAGATCTTTTAGTTCTCAGGCTCCTCTCTTGTGGAACCAACTTCCAGTTTCTGTCCATGAGGCTGACACATTGTCCAGTTTGAAGACTGGGATTAAGACTTTCCTTTTTTATAAATCCTATAGTTAGGGTCGGCTTGTTATGCTGCTATAGACTTAGACTACAAGAGGACAAATTGACCTCATTTCCTTAAATGAATTGTTAAAATTGAATAGTTTTCATTTGATTTTATTTCTATCTTAACATGATTCTGGACAAATACATTCAGGAAGTGGTGTGAAGAGAAGCAGGAAGTGGTGTGAAGAGAAGCAG